GCCACTCTTATCTTACAAATCTGATTAGACTTTAGTTTTATTTCTGATTAAACTCGAGTTGCATAATGATTTTTTCTAATATAACAAAATATTTTTTGAAGCTTTACGGTTACAGTTACGTACTACATTAATCTGACAAATAAATGTCATTCCAAAGTTTTTGAACCATTTCTGAATATTTACTGGTTTAGTTCTATAGAGAAAAAAACTTGTTCCATCTCAAGATGTGCAACTGATTCTAATCATTTGTCTAATATAGAATGAAACTTTAGAATCTGTCATGCAGTATATCCAAACCCTTCCATATAACCTTTGATAATTATCGAACTGTAATGAAACTGAAAATCTAGTCACAATATTTGAAAAACAATTTTAATCAACCGGATTTAATATTTAGCCGATCTTACTAAAAAAGAACTCCCTTACTAAATTTAGCATAATTCTATGACTGAGAATTATCAAACTACTCCAGATATTTCCTTCTAATCAGAAAAGGAACAAAATATTCTATAAAAATGAATTGGCAGAAATAGAAGAGAGATAAAGACGTTTGAGACTACTAAAAATTATAATATTTGAAAATGAGGTTGGACGAAGTTAGACATTAAAATACTTATATGATTTTTGACTATTCAACTGATGAAATAGTCTTTAATATGATTTTAGTAGATGTTACACTTCATAGTCCTACTCATTCTACAATGTTTCAGAAGTACATTAACTAATTTTCCAAATTAATTTTATAACAGTCTGACATCTGTTGAAGAACCTTTCAAAATCTTGGTTTGTTGGAGAGTTGCTTTATTCTAATATAAGGTTTCTCAAAAAATTTCAATTTAAATAAACTTAAAAATAATCATGTACTGTATAGCAACTGAATTCGTATTGGATTCCTGAAGTTCTAGTATTAAACGGTGATCTTTGCACTTTGACTACGTTACCGACAGCATTGAAATATTGTCACACAATATGGAAGTTCAACCGAAGTTTGAGAGTAGACTACTGGAATCCGAACTAAAAATTTATATGTATCGTCCTTAACTAGATAACTGAAGGTACCAGATTTGATTACGCATGTGTAATGCTATACAATTCAAAATTAAGGTGTAAAAATCGTCAGGTACCAATCCTTGGTTTTAAATGATTAACCGTTTTATGTTAATCTGTGGTGAAAACTAAGTTCAAATTGGTCCCTTTCCACAAACCTCTGATCTCAGTTTCCGACATTAATCAGGTGATGCAAAAGAGAGTTAGTAGTAAGTAGTTTAAATCTAATTTATCAAAATATTTTAAAACTAGAGTGTTTAAACGTTAGTTCCATAACATGTAATTTATCATAAAAAAATTACCAATGCCATAATTTATCATCATAAAGGCCTCCAGATGCATCATTTTCAGTTTGAATTACTTTATCCATATGCATATACTTTTCAGGAGACTAACCTTCAAGTTTAATTTTATCTTAACTGTAACCCGTAACTTCTGTTTCTATTCCTCTATCTAGCTGAAAATAACAAATATGGACGTGTCTCCATGGTCGGTGATTGTAATAGTCAACGAATTATATATACATCTGATTATGGTCATACTATCCGATGGGGTAATTCAAACTCTGGACAAAATAAATTGGTGACAAAAGAAATATACACTTCACAATTTAACCGATTTCGCAATTTGGCGGTAGATTCATTGTCTGGAAATGTGTTTGCCTGGGAAGAGGCCTTTGGAAAAATTATGGTATTCAATCCAAATAAACCAAATATTCATTATACACTTGAAAGTTTACATAGCCTTACTTCATCTGAACAACAGAATTTCGCTGGGCTAGCTTTGCACTCCACATTAGGGTGAGTAAATAGAATATCGATAGATGAATATATAGTAATATTTTTAGATCTGTAAGTATTATACATATTTACATACGTTCCGTTTTTTAAAAGATTAGATAAGTTGGTAGCTGGTGTATGTACTTTAATGGTGTCGAACTTTCTATTCGGAACGTTTTAATCATAAACCTTTAATTTTCTAGTGTCTAGAGTTTCTATTAATGACTGTAAATATGATTGGTTGTATTCAACTCTCAATGCATTCCATTACTTGTTATATTATCTTCAAGTTTACTGTAACTAGCTTCAAGTTACCAAATTTCCAGACGAAATAATTATGATTTCAAACACTAGTCTTGAATGTAAGAATTTTATTATTATTATAAAATTACTCTAGTATTAGCATACACTCATTTAAAATTAAATCTACCTTACTGTCCAAATACACGATTACACATATTAATTGTGTGATAGATTATAATTCTACCTCTCTATACAACTGTTGGTAGGGATTATACTCACTGCTTTACATTGCGCTTACTTAAGAATGCTACAGTTAAGTAAAATAAGGAAACATTCCTCATATTTTTAAATTTCGATACCATTTAGACACTGAATTTCCAAATTATTCGTCTTTTTGAGATATACATGTACTTACTTGCTTATTTATTTTTACTGCTATAATCAGTCTAATGTACTGGGCAATATACACAGACGGTTGGAGACCGAATGGTACAATTCAAGTGGCTTCAATGTCTGGTGAAAATGAGGAGCAATTATTACAACTAACTGGTGAACCATTGGCAATTAGTATATCACCAGCAACGCCAGTTAACGGTAATTCCGCTGGAAAATTATGCTGGATGCAAAGATCTTCTAAAGGAATGTTTGGATTAGTCACTGAACTACATTGTGCACGATTAGGTCAAACAGGTAGAGAGATATTAACCAATGAAAAGATTAGAGAATTCAGTCCTTCTGAAGAACCATCTTTTGGTATGACACAATATAAAGGAACATTATTGTGGACAGATGCTTCAAAGTAATCAATTTTTGAAATAAGCTTTTATAATAAGTGAAGTGAAGTAAATTTCTTTTAAGAATACTATTTATCAATTAAGGAATTTCACAAAATTTCATTCCATAGGCTAAATTTAATTAATTACAACATTATCTACAAATTTCCATAAAGGCTATTGTTTTAATAAGACTATTTCATTCTAATATCGTTAACTTTTTTAACACTGAACGTTTCAGTTTTTAGATTCTTATAAGTTCACTCTAATATGCAATAAGAAATGAACAATTAACAAATAAATAACCATTTTGAAATAGATGACAGAATTAGTTCAATCTAACTGACCCATCATAAAACAACTTTTTTCTAATGCTAGTTAATGGTTAAACGCTCGCGCGCGAGACTGATAGGTCCTGGGTTCGAACCCCGCGGGGTGGGATTGTGGATACGGCAGTTAAAAGGATTGTTTCTGAATTATGTTTTAGGGATTGTTTAATTTTATCATCAGTACGTCTGTCAGTCAGCTACAACGTAGGATTAGGAATATATATGCTTCGGACCAAGTTACCACACCTCATTAGCACAACAAGGCGGACACCGAATTCACAGAAGTAGTCACTTCAATGTTAGTAATGTGTTAAAGAAAGATTGTGTATACGGATATAGTACAGGAAGAAAGAATTAGCTTGTTATTAATGACCATATAATTTTCTTCAACTCATAAATTTACTGCATTCCAAATGCACTACAATTCAGTTCATATATCAACCTTTCCGTTTACATCCTTCCGAGTCAGAATAAAGAACATATTTAAAAATGTGTTTTTATAGACAATCTTTTGATTGACTCTTAATATCTATTAATCAATAAAAGCCAGAATTCTCCACTGGTAATTGCTTTTCCTGAATTCATTTTCGGACTTCAAAAGCTGTAAATTTCAAGTTTATATCCCGAGTAATCCTAATTTCTTTATTGATTCATATCAGAATGTGTTCAGAATTCCAACTTTCTAAAGAAATACTGTTTCATCGCAATTTTTTTCTTTTCGCTATTGAAATGAATATGCAGATAAAAATCACACTCCGATAATAACTCTAAAATTTACACCGGTAGATTTCTGGCTGTTTTTGGTCACTAAGTATGGTTCTCATCCTAACGGTAGCCTAACTATTTTATTGCAACGTTACCTATAACATTCTGTCGGAACAAGTAATAAATTTAAAGATCTTGTAATCTCCCTGAAATATATGAAAATCGAAAGTATGCTCTGTTAGAAAATCCTATCATACGGATACAGGTTTATAGTCTCTGTCGGGTAAGTCCTACTCACTCCTATCATGTGGCGGTGCTTTCACCATTCTGAAAGGTTGAAAAGTGGACGATCGAATTCTAAACTGAGCTGATGGATGCAAGGAGTTCATCTATGGGAGTTTGATAGTTATATATTGTCCAATAGTCCTCAGTTCGTAAATGGTTAGTTTTTCACAAGTTGCCGCCAAACATGAAGTCTGACGTAAATTTTCTGAAGCTACGTGTGCCGTTTAATTTCGCCTCATGTGACATGAAGGAGTAAAATTTCTTAGTGCATAACCATTCTCCGGCTGAGGTCATAGAGACCATGAAACTAAGTGGCTTTAAACTTTATCGTATATGGTTCAGAACAGAAACTATACGTTATTCTGTTGGATTTTTCTGTGGTGTTTGTTTTGAAAAATTTCTATTCAATTCCTTGACGTTTTGGAAACTATTCTTGGTTATATTTTGAGGTAAAATAAAGCTCTAATTCAATACCGCCATTTCTATTTGTTTCTAGATTGCAAGGCTCTTCCTCCTCCATCTGTACTATATTACCACTTCATTTATGTAACGAATAGTTTTGCCTTATTTTACCAAAATGTATGAAACCAGAGAATTTCTGATACACAAGAGAAAATATAGAATAAGTACAAAAAATAGCTAACTGTGATGTTGGGTCTCTTAGCTAAGTAATTGGTCCCTTATCTTCTTTGATCAATATCCTTCAAACTGATATTAAAATAATGAAAAAGAAACGGTTTATTTATAGACTGACATTTCTACACGTATTGTTTTTTATCCTTGTTTCAATGATTCTAACGTTACAAACGTCTGATCGATTTCATTTAAAAAAGAAGTTTATGATCAAAATATTAACAGTTAATGTATTAACTTACAATAAACTATTTGATATATTACTAAAATTATTCTAAATATTTACATTTCTCCTTAAATTTAGGACAGTCTATTACTCCATCAATCCTGATCGCCGAATACGTGTCCGTTATGTCTGTTGTTCTAATCGTTTCCAAGCCTTATCAGTATTAGGTGATTGTCCACAAGGTAATTTCAGATCTTTTGAATTTATTCTACATAATTCAATAGTAAATTCCTAATAAATAAACATTTATTAGGATCATTGTTTTAAAACAAATTTGACCATGCCATTGACAATTGATTTTGCATTCTGGGTAATACATGTAATTTTAATAAAATGAACAAGAAGCATTTTTCTGCACCCAGATTATTGTTAACTGATTATGTTAGGACTCATCTATTGACAGCTTTTTTTGTGAGCAATAGGTTACAGAAATATGATCATCCTGATCGAATTCACCCTTATTTAGAATAGAATGAGAGAACCTGTTTGAACAATTAGACTGAAAAAGGGAAGTTAGCTACATACCTTTTATCCACATAGCAGCCAATCGCAACACTTGGTGAATAAATTGAATTTGAAATCTTATCAGAAGCTGAATCTCATAGTTTCATATTTAGAGCAATGCATTAGTTACCTGGGGACATACGGTTTGTTTTTCTACTGACAAATCACATTTTATTTCAACTTACATCATCCTTTTCGTAAATAAGGTGGTAGTTTACTACTGTCGTTGTAGAATATCCATAGTCTCCTCTAAAATGTTTTACACAGATCTAATTTACATACCAAATAGCATGATTATTTTAAAAGTTCACTTTTTTATTCACAATTAACGACCATTTACTATTGAGAATATCCATCAAAAATCAAATTACTATGCAGTTTCATGCCTAATGATCTTGAGAGCATGATAAAACGGGAAAGTATCAGAACTTCAATCCGGATGAAGATAATGAGTAGATAGATCTACGCGGCTGTGACTGATTCTGAAGCATGTTACCTAACGTATGCAACCATTGATAGTGGTTATCAAGCGGACCTTAACCGGATAGTTAACATCTAACAATTCCTAACACCATTAATCGCCTTTTGTTTGAACGCTCCTAACTTTTTCCAACCTACCTCTGCACTTGCAAGCTTCACTCACATAAATCGGCTATGGTTGATGATACATAACACATTGCAAAGCCACCTTAGTCTGTGAAAATTTTATTATCTCATCAACCGACTTGTTACTCCTACCAATTACCTTATGTCTAAGCTCACAACTGCTCACTCGGTTATTTCACAAAACGCGAGCACTGCTTTGAACACAAATATGATCAAAAACCTTTAGCCCACGAATATCTTCTACTTTGATAGACTATGGTTCACGGATATAAAATAGTACAAAACGGATTGCTGTGGAATATACACGTCCCTTGGTTGTCAGACGAACATTTCGTCCAAGCCACAAGCGACGCACGTTGTCAAGAGCCAACCGAGGTTTCGTCAGACACCAAACCACCAGGGTTGATGAGGCTTCCAAGATAAATAAAGTGGTCAAAAGAATAAAACTACTTCACTCCATATCATCAGTTCAGGCGTTAATGCAAACCAGTCCTGAAGCAGCACTTCGCGTACGAAACATACTAACATTTTTGCTGAGAACGATTAAGGGATTCTGCAGTTTGTCATTGTTTTCACTCAGTAACAATATGTAATCTAATTATTTCAAATCGACAGGCGAACTTCCATGTAGGGGGTTGACCCCTGAGAAGTTGGTCGAAGCAAAATTTTATTTCCGAAAGGATATTGATGATAAAATTGAAGAAAGATGAGCAGCTCCGATTAATGACAATTGAGGTTAACAATTTCGCTGACGGTTCCTGACTCAACCAATAGTCCCTAATTAGAGAGCCTTCGGAGGGTTTATTTACTCATTTGGTAAGTCATTCAAGAGCAAACTGCCACAGAATCTTCTGATCAACAGCTATAATCATTTTTCTATAAAATATTTTCTCCGAAAGTAAGTAGAATTTTTAATAAACAAAAATACATAGTATATTTTCCATTATAATATTGTTGCATTTTATCAGTTCGACTAATGAATAAAACTAATATTAGTGCAGTCAATGATTATGGTTCTGGTTGTACAATGTACCAGATATTTTCAAAGTGAATGTATACGTAACCAAGGGAATATGTGCATAATAACATGCATAGTATGTACAAGCTTGTCTTATTTATAATTATTCATTATTTTGATTGATGGATTCATTATCACTATGATGACGATAAATATTTTCATTTACATACCCCCCCCCCAACCATTTAAACTAATCGAAACAATTAATTATAATATTTTTATCGATATTAATTACCTGTTTAGCTTCAACTAATCCATGCACTTATTCTAATGGACGATGTCGTTATATATGTTTACCAAATGACGGTGGTAGATCACGTACATGTGTATGTCCTGATAATGAACCTGGATGTCATAAAGAAATGTGAAATGTATCAGTTATAATTTAATGAAATGATAAATTCATTTTATCCCAGTTCATATTTTTCAACTTTACATTAACTTAATTATTTATATTACTGATTTGTTAAAAAAAAAAGAAAAATTAAAATTGAATTTTCGAATTTTCCTTCAAAAAAAAGGTGTTTTATTTAGGAAAGCTTTATTCTTGAAATGTCAATCTTTTTTCTATTGTATTACATTTAATTATACTTGCATGTTGTATTTTATTTTACTTATCTATGTGAATTTGAAGAGTTACAATTGAAATAGGTTATATATTATCTAATTAATCTCATTCGTCAACCTAAAAATTGATACACATGAACTGAATACTTCTCATAGAATTAGTTTGTTTTTGTTGTTGTGTGTGTGTGTGTAATATTTAAACTTTGATGTTACTATATCCCAATAAATTATATTCAATACTGAAACATAATTTATTTTTGTAATCAGTTCAGTAAATTCACAGTTCAAATCATTAACTAATCTCTCCTAGACCATTATTAGTTACCTGAGCAATCAGCATATAGGGTTCTCGCCGGTGTCCTTCGACGACATGGATTGTTCATTAGTCATACAGTATTTTTCATTACTGTGTTGATTCAGAAAATGACTCTCCCTTCCGATCGATTACAGTTGCTATTTGAGCGACAGTTGAAGTTCTTAGTCAAACTACGCACATAGCTGCTGAATCACTCATGCTTTGGAGATGCGACGGAATTGAATGGATTAATTTCTTAATTGCGCACCGAGCTTGAAAATGATTGCAGCCTCCATGAATCCTCAACAAACCGTAATTTAAACGAAACAACAGTTATTCAAGATCCACCCAGTGGTGTAGCGGTCCATTTCAGAAACATGTCCGGTAACGAATTCGAACCCCATTATCTCCGAAACAGCATGTGCAAACAGTGGCTTATCCAGCTCTCAAAAAGACGATATCCTGTTAAATGTTCATGAAATTGTCGCAGTAACCGCCCATGAAGAAACAGAAAACGAATCAAGCAGTACACTGAATCCAGATGCACCAAATGGAGCTCATCATTCTGTGATAGAACTTTCTGACGAATCTAATTATCGAGATTCCTTTGTTTTACCAGAAAATGTGTCACATGCATCAAATGATAATAAAGAACCTAGTGTAGTTTTGATAGATGCTGTTTACCCTAATGAGTCATCATCTACTAATGAGGTCTTCAATAAATTTGATGTAAATGTTTCAGAAGAATCAAACTTCGATGACCTCATATCAAGCGTCGTTGATCCTCACCACTTAGTTACTTTCAGTAGATTCTCTGTTCAATGCGACAAATGTTTTAAATAAATCCAAATTAATTGTAACTTGGAAATATGAGGATCCAACACTACTTCGTGGGGGAAGATAAGCTCGGGAAATCTAAAATCCGGATATCAACTCCAGATCTTCAAAACAGGGGTGTGTTATGTCTCGATATGGATAAGGAGTGGTAATTTTTGGGATCCATTTATGGAACAACACTATGCGTATATTTTTATCGTATAATATATGATATTCTAGCATTCCATTGACAAGTTATAACAGGAGCTTCAATATTTCTACGTACATTTTGAGTACTAGAACTTCATCATTTTAGAATTACTTGTATTCCATGATATATAAATTGCTTTATCATACTTTTGCGATTTATCTATTAGAGGAGTAAGTCATTGTTCATATCTGTAGCAATTATGATCAAACTAGATAGACTCATTTCAAAAGAGAAATATCTTTTATAAGAAATCGGTACAACTTGGAGACCAAACGGTGCTGTACACAAAATGTTTGCATTATTATAGGTAAAAATAATATGTATGAAACTCGAAATGTTAATCGACTAAACCTGCTGATGTGGTTTATTCCAATGGTGACTACATAAAAATCCATATTTATTACTTCGAACACTGAAAGAGTGGACAACCGTGTCGATAATTTTTCAATTAATAAACTACTAAGACTTTCTGAATACATAACACAGAAACGGTTTTTTGTATCCAAACAAAAACAGGAAAATAATGAGAGTTAGGAATCAGTCAAATATTTTGAGCAAATGAGTATTTGACTGATGGAGTATATTCATTACTCAATAATAATAATAATAATGGGTAGAGTAGCATTTCAATTATAAACTACCCAGCTAATAGTCAACTCAAAAATCCACTTAGACTGGCTCCAGAAAGTTATTTTATTAATTCATATTTATCTCCCATTACTTACATCTAATTAATCAGACATAGGATAGTATTGTTGGAAATAGAGGAAACTACCAACTGTACCGTGCTCCGGTAGTGATAAAATGTTTAGCACGGATAAGTGGTATCTCCATAGATTGTACCTTTCCACAATTGGAAGCTATCAAAAAAGAGAAAGCATAGATACACCTTTTGTACAAAGGATTCCTGGTACCAATTAGAGATCCCTCAAGAATAAATGTTCTCTCACCTCATGAGAGATCTGATAGGTTCAACGTCCTGCACAACTCAAGTAGCACCCTAATCTATCTTGATCCCGATAACAGCCTCATCCTAATATTTCTTCTATTCCTGCCATGAGCCCTTCTTCTATGGATTTGTTTTACCGAATGTGGCACCAAAATTAACGATTCCAGTTTACCAAGTGCTGCTTTAAACCTGAAACTGCGCTTTAAACAATAAACGAACTTTCATTTTCAGGACTCCGTGTCAAACAATACAGTAGGACTTACTACCCAAAAGTGTAACACTTCGATCGACTGATGCATTTTGTTTTAATTGTTCCCAAGTATATATATACATATATATTAGTGATGTAGCTTAGTTCAAAATTATAATGATTATTGTAAAGACGTAAGGTTCAATATTGAGAATAGCTGTCATTTGAAAATTACGAGCCTTCGAGTTTACTAAGTGTGTTGATGCTATCAACAATAATCTTCGAATAAATGACTGTTAGTAATATAGAAGACCTAAACCATTCACTCGAATATATTATTCTTAATGAGTTTGACTGCTCATATAATGAAAATCTGTGAATACTAAATGGCAGAATAAATAGACCTATGTGATTACTATTTCATGAATAAAGATTATATACTGAAATTTACTAACCCACAACTATTGTTGATCAAACTTACCTCTATTTATTTAATTATGAAAAATATGTATGATGAAACCATCAGTATAATTAGTGTTCTAAATCAAAACGGAATACACCCATTAATACATTAAATAAGATAGATAAGTTCAGCGAAGAGTTCTCTTTCCGGCGAATTCACTTCTAAAGATGTACAACCGCATATTTATATATACTTATTTTTCAGGATGATAATAATTATAATAATACGGATAATAAAGTTCTGTTACATATAGTGACAGTGAGGTAGGATAAACAAAGGTATTAAAACGAAATTTTAAACAAGGAAAACTTAATAATCGTTTGGTTGTTAATGGCTTAAATAATAAAATCATCCCTTAAAACATTAAATGCTCAAGTTGATATTCGTATCAAAAACGTTTTGCGCCCTAAAAGGATGTTTTCAAACGATTTATCTTGAAATACATTCACGCAAAGATCTTTGAAAAGTGAAGAAATCCAGTTTTAGTTATACCCTATAAACAGACCACTAATTAAAGTTTTTATAATTCCAGTTAGTAGTGAAGTAAAAGATTTAAGGGCGATTAACAAATTTACTAGTTAGTTAAGTTTAGTGACTAATACTTCATAATATTAATTGCATAAATCAAGAAAATCACGTATAGATAAGCATTTATACATTTAAATGTAAAAATATAGTTTAAAAAATAATATCACAGAATAATCTATGTACAATGTCGAAGGGCTGAATATTCATTCCAGTTAAGTACCTTTTGTTCTTTAGGAAGAGATGTCTGTGAAATAAAATCAGCAATCTGTGCTGCATAGTCTGATTGGGTTAAATCATCAAGCTTTTCTGAAACATCACCAACTAATGAAGTACAGTTTTGAGTGGGAGAATCAATCAGTAAAATCGACTCATCAATGGACTTATCAATCATACACCCACTTTGATCCTTCCTTGGTCTTGGTTTTGGCAATATAATGGATAAGTACGTACCAACATTAATAGTACTCTCGCTTCCTATCAAAGGAGTTAACTTCACTTTTGAATTTAAATAGCTTAGATCTTTTGAGATAGGAGGATGAAACTCGGTTTTTGTAATGTCTAGAGAATTATTAACTTCCAAAAGATTGCCTGGAATGCCACACACTACAGGATGCTTTATTTCACGATCACAAATAGCATAAGCTATTATGTCTGTAGATTTATTCAAAACATGACCTCCATGTTTACGACGGCCTTTGACATTTTTTTTCGAACGATTTAATCCATTGGAAACCTAAAATAATCAAGTAATAATGAAATTATGGAGTATATTCAATGTATTAGTTTCCGTTGGAGATTATCATTCACAAGAATATATAGGGTAACTGAGTTCTAGGATAATTATAGTCTCGTATTTGCATCAATAATTAACCATTCACTGAGTCATTATTTTGATTGTTACTTGATGGACTTTAAGCAAATATTAACCAAACACTAAAAGCAACATTGTGATCCATTAAAATCTGTTGAAAGACTCTTTGAACAGCGAATATTAGTTCACATAACAGTGAACACCTATTTCCCAACCTTGCAGTCACGATATGGGAAGATATAATCACATGTCTTAGGTATACATACAGGTAACCGGAATCAGAACATAAAGTTAAGGAAATGCCAATTTCTAAATCTTAAAACTAAATATTACATGAGCTTAAAAAAAAATTCTCCGAGCTACCAATTAATATACTTAAATATGCTGATACAGATAACTAAAACACACCTATATCAAACTTAATCCACCTACATGGTGGTTGCCAAAATGAAACTGAAGCAAAAACAGCAATGGATAAGTGGAGAAACAACATTACAAAGGTTCAATACAGACTTCCTTCGAGATACTGACAAACTCAACGAATTCAGTATCACTCTCAACAACAGGTTCCAATCCTTACAGGATATACTGAAAGAAGAAACTACTATGGAGGACAATCGGAAAGTGTTATAACTCTCTCTCTTACGGTTACGACCCAGCTATTCCTATTGCTTAGTATTCTTGGACACTGATTCACTCGACAAGATCCCAAATCAGAACACGGTTGAACAGGAAAGAGATTATACTCCAAATAACAAGGTTAGATGGAGGCAAGATGCAAGCCAGAAGCCCAATAGGGAAAACGTCAGTATATTTATAGTTTTTTACATAAGAAGATTCCAGAGTATTCTCCAACCATCGACTAGTGCTGATTGGATAAGAATTAGCCAATCAGCGTGCACCAAAGCAATCATGCATTGAGCATGCTTTAATCTAGTCTATGTCCCGCTAACAGAAAGGGATCAAAGAAGCATCATCATAAGGAATGGATCTCTATGGAAACCCTGGTCAAGATTCAAGATAGGAAGAACGAAAAGACAGCAATGAACAACAGACGAACAAGAACGGAGAAAGTCAAGGCACACCGAATGCACAGAAGCAAACAAGCAGATGAAGAAGAGCATTGGAGCCGACAAGCAGAAATACGTGGAAGGGCTACATTGAATCCACTGGAAATTGAAACAGCATACACAGACCATTCTATAGATGTCACTGAACCAACGATCGAAGAAACCAGGATAGCCATTAGACAAAGCAAGTGTGGGAAAGCAACAGCATCAGACAATATCCCAACTAAAGCACTGATGTCACATATAGAGGTAACTGCAAACATGCTCCACGTTCTATTCAGGAAGATTCAGAGGGATGATTACGCGCCAACGGATTGAAAAGGGCACCTCATCAACATACCAGAGAAAGGAGATCTGAGATCAATAGGCTGGATTCCGTAAGAATCTGTCGTGCGCGGACCAAATTGCGACACTACTGATCGTTGTTGAACAATCAATTGGATGGAATTCGTCACTTTACATCAACTTCCTTGACTATACAGAAGCGTTTGACAGCATGGATAAGAAAACCTTGTAGAAAGTTCTTCGACAGTATGGTGTACACGAAAAGATCGTCATCACACCGATTTCATAGGACCGACTATACTGCAGAGTTATGCACGAAGAACAGCTGACAGACGCATTCCAAATGAGGAACGAGGTTAGACAAGGCTGCCTACTCCCCTTCTTTCTCTTTTTTTTCTGAGGGTTGACTGGGTTATGGAGATCTCCATATCTCATGAGAAACACGGCATACAATGTACAACCTTACATGCAACTAGAAGATTTGGACTTCGTATATCACCTACCTAGCTCTTCTAGCCCGTACACACGAACTGATGTAGGTGAAGACAGTCAGTGTAGCAGCAGTCTCTACATCAGAAGGCCTCAACAATACACAAGGGAACAAGCAAGATTTTCAAATACAGCACAGAGAACACCAACGCAACCACACTTGATGGAGAAGACCTGGAAACTTTCACTTGCTTATGCAGCGTCACCGATGAACGTGGGGGATCTGATGCAGACGTAAAAGTCAGGACTGGTAAAGCGACAACAGCATCCTTACAGTTGAAGAACATATAGAACTTAGAACAACTATCGGTCAACAAATATCAAAGTCAGAATCTTCAATACTAACGTCAAGACAGTCAGTTCTACTGTACGGAGCTGAGACGTGGATAACTACCACATCCATCATCAAAACAGTACAAGTATATTTATAAACAATTGTCTACTATAGATAGTCAATGTCCGTTGACTGAGGAAGAAATTAGGAAACGATGTTGGAAGTGGATAGGACACACATTGAGGAAATCAAACTGCATCACAAGACAAGCGCTAACTTGGAATCCTGAAGAGAAAGGGAAAAGACGAAGCACATTGAGCTGGAAATCTGAAGCAGACATCAAAAGAATGGATAACAACTAGGAAAGATAGCTCACAACAATGCTCGATGGAGAGTTCTGGCGGACGGCTTATGCTCCTCCATGGAAAGTAACAGTAATATCAAACACACATTCATAGTAGAAAAGTTATTTCGATAGTCATGTGCATACTAAAAACGAAATGCATGTCATAAAAATCAAACTACAATATAAAAACAAAGGGATGTAATACAAATGTGCTCAAAATGAATGATTTAAAATCAATATAAATTATATGAGGAAAGGTAACAAATATTTACCTGATAGTCTAATCCTAAAATTTCGTGAGTTACGGAAGAAGAACAGTCACTAGAGGAATTCTTGCTACACCTTTTAAAAATATGGTGCCCACAAGCAAGACCAACAACACACAAAGTATTGCTATGCCTTAATATACAAATATCATTTTCAAACTCCCCACCAACATCAACTAAATAAAATGCATTGAAGTAACGCTCTACAAAACGTTGTGTTCTGTTATCAACCAAGAATCCGCTATTTGAGACGAACAGATCTGATTGAAGTTCAGAGACAGATCTTTGTGTTTGTATACTCAAAAACCAATCACATGCTTCATATTCCCTTTCATTGTATTCTAGTGAAGTCATTAGGAATCTGAAAGTAAGCCATTTAAGATAAATAAGCGAGTTATCTACTGCATGTAAAAATACAACGTAACTCAAAATATCTTTCACAAATGACATTACAATAATTTACGCGTATATTTTCAAGGAGAATCACTACAAACAAAGTGACTTTAAGTGAAACAAGATTTGGTTAAAGCTTATATAAAGCGTACATAGCCTCTGCCAGGGAATTCCTACTCACTGTCTTCTTGTGACGGGGGTGTTGTTTACGAATATGAGAGGACGAAAAGCGAATGTCTGGCGCTTTAACCGGATTCCAAACCAATGGTGCACATGGGCTCCAGTATCCTGAAGGAACAAATGGCGTATGAACCAATTGTTGGTCACCGGCTACCATGGGACTGCATCTCCTTACGTTGCTCCACTGCCTTGTGGATCAGACCTTCAGGTCGAAGGCTCGGGGAGTGGCCCCCTAAGAAAACCACCTGCTTCGGTTCGGGCACCCAGGCAGTATCACAGCCCTCACACATACCGGAAGAGGTTTGTGTAGCGCATATGTATTTGGTGCCTCCTCGTACCAATATATATGTGTTAAAATAAATAAATTGTTTTAAAATGCAGAATAGTTATATGGGTGTATAAAACGTATGGCAATAGAATTATTTTGTTGACAGCCAGACAAAGGTTATCCAGAAATTAAAACGCTCTTCACAGTTATTAACCTAACTCAAAATAACCTTCAAAAATAATGAGTAATGTCATGTAAAGCACAACTTAAAGGTTAGAAGAAAGACTAAATATTATTAACTTTCGAATATAAGATATATGTGATTTACGTAACTCAACGGCCTGAAAATTTACTCACTAGACTTCTAACTATGGGGTCGTTTGTTCAATACAAACTTAGGGTGGATAAATTCCGATAAATTAGTGTGGTCTCACATATAATTCGACAAGACAGCGGAAGCAATCCATGAATTATTTAGCTTTACCATACACTCATTTTCACAATAAACTGAAACTGGGAAGCCTCCTACCAAACCAGCCTTTTCCTGTCTCAAAAAGTGCTTTCTTATGATCAAAAGGTTGGAACTGATATAAAGTAAAACCGATAGAAAATGTGTACCAGTTGAAGTTTCTGTGCTGTATATCAGCATAATAAATGAAAGTAAGCAAGAAAATGTGATGAATACTGGGAAACGCCTAAGCGAAAATAGGTGAAATTATTGAAAGCGGGAATCTAAGGTGTTCAGACTATAAAAAAGGCATAAGTCACTTTGTATTGTGAGGTATTTAGCCTATCATTTCAATCACTTTACGAAATATTACTTTGCCGTGTTAAAGTTTAAGACAGCCGTAAAAATTACGAAATTGATTTAGATCTATAAAATGAATAAATCCATGTGTTTGATCAATCACATTGGAAAATCTTGTCAATCTTAAATAGTGCGTTTGCAGCATGGCAACCTGGGCTTTGAGTTAACTATAAACGGCATTCTTAAAAAAGCTGGGAATCCACTTAAAACTAAGTTAATACTTCAGCCAGCTTACGAACCCTATGCTCATTCTAGCTCGTTCTAACCCAACATACAGCGATCATACAACGAACCTGTTTATTCCGCGTGTCAATGACCTTGTCACTACAAAGGTTTGACCCCATTAGTTAGTTCAAACGATTCAACGGAGTTCAAAAGTTTGTGGTCCGATTAGGGGATGACTTCGTAAATGAACCTTAGCGTTTAAAAGAAGAAATAACAAAGTGTTTTAGTGTGAGATAAATCTCTTCAGGTCGAAAAATGATTGATCGATAAGAAGACAGACAGTAACAAGACTAAACTCATGTGTTTAAGCAGTGACAATTGCAGGGAATAGCTTATGTCAGTTAAAATGCAACGTACATTCGAGACGGAAACGTTTGGACATATAATGGAGAAGATGAGAGTTGTGACGAGCAACTAATTCAAATTTGGGCAAAATATTCTTGTAAGCCTGAATTTCGTACAGCGGAAGGCTTGCGATCCCGAACCTGTCATCATATGGTTAGCATACATTAGTTAATTCATCTGCCTACTATTATCTGCTGAAATCGATGACACAACTAACAAGGATGCCACAATAATTTGGAGTGTGTTAACACCTAAGCCAGTAACACTTTTATAATCGAAGTGTGTCAGCCCAATCACATCAGAAGTTAGGAATGAAAACGTTCGAAGATATGTTTGAGAGGTTGTTCAATATGTCGAAGGAACATTGGTCTAAGCTTGTTAGTAGCTGAAAAGAGATACGTAGCCCGACGTTCCCGATTGTGATCTGATGTGGATGCAGGACAGAGAGCCTTCATCTACCTGGGACCAGTAAAATTAATGCAGTCAGCACCAAATGTCGAAGACTTGCAGAACTATTGATTTCAGAAGTGTACTTACCGCTACACCATCAACGTCTAGTTTCTACATGGCTAGTTATTTTCTGTGAATATGAAAGGTAGTTAATACTCATTTCGTTATTATTGAGAAAACTGTTTTTGCCATTAAATTCATTTGCTTAAGTTAATGAACTTCAACACCAGGATTTATGGAAGAGTATCGATGAACTTCTTATTCACAATGAATAACAACCTGCATACCAGAATTTAATAAATTTACATTGTTGTTATGTCATGCTGGTACTATCACGTCTTGTAGTGGGGCACGGTGTACCAACTCCTGATATGGTGTTGATATGTGGCTGAGAGCTTCCAGTTAGGGTGTCCAGTAAAACTAATGAGGTTAGCATTAATGTCGAAGACATGCAAAACTATTTATTTTGGGAATATCTCTACTGCTACAGCTTTATATATAAACATAATCTGGTTACTGTATAGTTATACAATAACAATATATGTAATAAGAGACTATGAATAGTTACCAGAAGTTACTCATAATTCAATCTTCGTTGTGATGTAATTGTTTGACATAATGATATATAGTACAATCAGATAAGTTGCGAAGTAATGAGATAAAACAAAAAGGTATCTAATGTCCTCCGTGTAGTAGTTGTCCTATTATTCAAAAGACCTTACACTTCTGCCGGAGCGCGTTGTTTTTGGCTGGTTTTCAGATATCTGCAACGTTTCGTTCTAATTGCTGAATATCGGGGAAAGCATAGTGACTGTGAGGCTCCTATCGTTTGATTGTACTGGAGGAAAATTAAGATTCCTTTCAATTAAGAGACCTGAAGACGGTCAATGCTAACGTTACAATTAGTTCCGTTTTTGTCGATGGTAGAGTAATAAAGCTTAAAATGCAGGACTTTAAAAGGTCCTTCGTATGCGATTTCGAAGCGACTTCATAACGAACCGTGACGTACCGAAGCCTGTGTACTCTGTCATAAAGCTCCCATTTCCAATATTTCGTTTTCTTAAGATCAGGGAAAGTAACATTACTTTGCTGCATAGCTACACATCTGTTTTAACTACCTCTCATTATGTTGATAGATATTTTTACTAGGTCCTGGGTTATTAGAGCATAATCCCGAAAAATAAGAACCCTCCCGCTTATGTCGCAACAATCAGTCATACGAAGGAACTAATTGTCTTAAATTACATCCTAAACACATCAGTGTCTTTTGTTCCCATCCATCGATTAGTCTTCATTTCCCCTTCTTGATAGAATAGAAGCGACCATACATTGTTTGGGTGAATAATTGAGGTACAATACGTGGATCGCAATTTCCTTTCAGCTATCATTGTGATGCTTCCAGTTCCCAAATATCTTACAGTGCAGTCAATAAAATAAGATCCGGTACCAACGAGTAAAGCAGATAGATTCTTCTTTGTCTCTAAATAACTTTTTTATCTTCTTTTGTTATCATTAGACCGCTTGTTGTTGTAAATTGTCAAGAGATGTGTGTTGGCAGAAATAATATGAAATGGAAATCAAGTTAATGAGATTACGTGTCTACAACAGAATCAAGAACGAGAATAGTAGTGATTACAGTTTTCATCATTAGAACTAGTCCCGAAGTTTGAGATTTATGAATTCAGGACAACAATGTAGTACTGCATAATAACGCTACGAGTAAATATACGAAACAAACGACATTGAAAAGAAACGAGAGTGAACAGTGCCGCTTCTGCTATGAAACCTCAATCAGTTACCCAACGAACAGATTACCACGGGAACCACATTGTTTGCTTCCATATCTAGAATCAGAAGCTGCTACTCTGGTAAACAAAATATCAAAATTACACAACATCTTAACAAATGAATCAACTAGTTTCTAGGATATGGTGATTATTATCATTTATAGCATTACGAATAAAAGGTCTGAAACGCACATACACAAATACAAATAAAAATGCAGATGTAATCACAAAGTCATCACGAAAATAAGCATTTACAAAGATAAGAAAGAAATAAAAGCCACAGTACGTTCCTTTTCTTTTTCTTTTGATATAAGCAATACTATATCAATGAGTTTTATTATTATTGCTCAGGGACTAGTGGAGTTTTTGAATGGTTAAGCGATTTATTTTCAATTGAATATAGATTATTCACTTCTAAAGAACCAGTTGGTTGATTAACCCGGTCGCTATCGCCAGTCGGATTCATATTTGTATTATCGACCAATGTAGGCAAACTGCCTGACCACATTAGTTTCCATTCATTTAGACCATCACAAACGATGACAACAATGAAGGTTACAAGAAGAGTAAATGGACATAGATACAATAAAGCTGGTTGACTGACATTAGTAACATTTAACATAATGATGGTAACTATGAAACCAAGTGAGTAACCTAAAATAGTAACCAAAGTCAATGATAAATTGATAAAGAAATAACAAGTGAACTGGATTTCGAAAAACATAAACTCTTATTCAGATTTTTTCAAACAAATGTTTTTTTCCTTTGGAATAAAACTTATCAGCAAACAATATTGTTTCTAATGTGATCTTTGCTTAAATATAAGGTAATATTTACATACATGTATAGAGGAAATAAATCAATTAAGGCCATTTATGATAAATACATTGTTACCCAACCATTCAACAACAATACGATAAGATTAGTAGGATGTTGCAAAATAAAATGACTAATAATTTCAAACAAACATTCATTTTATCAAAATGTTTCTTTCTAATAGTTAAACTAACTATTAGTAGATCTCTCATACCACTTAAACAGAAAGATGTAAACATTTCCGTCAGTTCAAGGTCATAAGTTTTAACTGAATACTATAGTTTTCAGCATGAGTATTTGTGTGTGTGTGTGTGTGTAACTAAAAGGAATTTTAAATACATATATTGAGTGGAGTATCGATGATGTTAGGAAATATAAAATGTTTTACAATTTATTATCACGTACACAAGTGCCATAAAAACGCCGGGGACATAATAAAAATTATTACTTAGAAGATAATTAAAAGTACGAATTAAGTATACAGTAATATGACATATCGGGCATATTTTGTGAGATATGTGACAAAGAAATGACTTCAAACTCCATATTTCAATTTTTGATATTAAATGTCGTTTTTAGTTAGACACTTTGTATAAGCCCCTTGTTACTGAAAGCATTTTTTAGTCAAATGTATATAGGAAGAAGAATAATGGAAATTTTTAATTATCGGCTATTCAAATATTATTTTGGGTAATTTTTTTAAGGATTGAGGGGCAAATAATCAATCAGATGTGACTCAACTGAACAATTACATGATAATGTAGTTCCCTAATTTTGAATACTAACCAGATTCTATAAAAAAAATTCGTGATAGTGTTAGTAAATTAGACATCCTGTCATTGTGCTGTATTGAAGGTCGAGTAATGTTGAAAGCCTTAAATAACTTCCACAATATTGGAAGTAGACATCAAAAGAATAGATAACAACTGGAAAGGATCGCTAAGGACAAAGTTCGATGGAGATTCCTGATGAACGGCTTATGCTCCACCAAGAGAGGTGACAGGCATAAGTAGGTTGCTAATGAGAAAAATATTTTTACATTCTATTTTTATAATTCGGCACACTTAAACACAATTGAAAGCTTTCTCAAAAAAGTCGAGGAAGGTGATTTCAGAAAATTATAGACCATTTGAACAGCAAATATGCTAATCATAGGTACACAAAGTTGCTGTAAAAGCACTGATACGTTATTGTTTCTCATTTCTACTGTATTTTTACGCATAAAAAAAACTAAATTGATCATAAAAATAGATTTAAGGAAATAATTTCTTTCTAATAAAAGAAACCAACCTAAAATTCCACCTAAAAAGTGTCGATAGTACGGAATACGCCAACATGCATCATAGAATGCCAGGAATTGAATAAATATTCCTGAAAATTGTTTTTTGAGAAAAAAAATAAGTAAGAAAATGATCAACTGGTAACCATAAAATGAATTATATACAACAGACTGTCATCTTTGTACCGTGAAATTAATATGTTTCTTGTATTATGAATAAATACTCATTTGTACTTACGATCATAACAGTGACAGTCAATGAGGAAGCGTAAAAGTATAACTCATATATGACTAGTATATAAGTTATATAATTTAAGTAGTCTTTAGCTGTTTTTCTTATTAATTTAAAATGTATTTATTTTTAAACATACGGAGTCCAGCAAGTAAAATGATGCAATAAAGTAAATAAGATGAAGTACTTGATTGTTTACATTTTTGTAATAATGAATATGTTTCAAGGTAGGTTAAGTCAAAATAATGCAGATCGACACTAAGTTCATTTATGATTCGGCTGTGAGATTTTAGCATATCTACAAAAGAAAGAAACTTTTCACTTTCCAACTGAGTATTTTGGAAATATAAATCTTTGCGTAGGACCGAGATGTTTACGTACATCGATTGTTGAGTAGTAACCTATAAGAGATTAGTGATAGCTCAAATAGTTCAATTCTAACGGGTTCGAGTATCAGTTCCCTTAGCGTTGCAGATATCTCACTTTATAATAAATATCAATCAGTATGAAACTTAAGTTCGAATTTTTCGCTAGTTTACTTTCAATCACCGAACTTATTAACTTGTAAATTGCAGTCTTCCTTAAATACTGTCAAATAACCTAATACAAATTATGATGCAAAGTTATGAAACAAATAACTCTACTCTAACGAAACAAGAACACGATACATATATATCCATTTGATGCGATAAAATGTTATCTGGGGACATCAAATGAAAGGCACCAATTACAAAAGCTAAACAAGCACACAGAAGCTTCATTAGAAAATGACTGAAATTTCTGGTTAAAATAAAGTGAATATTAAATATACCTTTGTAGACCACGGAAATAAATATCTTGCATAGTCATTGGAGAGATTACTTAATTCTATTAACATTGCATTTAAAATTACACAATCAAGAAAATCGATAAAAGAATTTTATTGAAATTATGAACCGACCAATGATAGATCACCATTGAGAACCTGGAAGCACTGGACGGCCATTTTGTGCCACACTAGTAAGAAAAGGTTGTCCAGTGCCTTTAGATTTTCAATGGTGATCTAACATTGATCGATTCATAATTTCAGTGAACTTCAACAACTCAATCAACCAAATCGATAAGAGAATAATAAAAATGTCACATATATATTAACGAATAACACAAAATGAAAGAAAACTTTCCCATTGACAAACTTTTATTAAAGTAAAAACAACAAGAGTATTAGAATAAGGTGAATTCGTCTATTTCATGGATTCTCATCAGCTGCTTAAAAGCTAGAAATAGTAGTAATAATTATTTTTAGACAATCTATGTGCATTATTGAAGATTAGTAGAATAACGAAAATTGTTGTCGTCATCGTTTCGAGGTCGTAAGGAACTGACAAGGATCTACGAAACAAATGAATTCACCCTTAATCCACTAAGTTTGTTGTATTTGCTTTATTCCAATTAACATAAAGTTCAATATTTGAAACTGAAGTCTCTAAGAAAGCACCAAATGACAGTAAATTTAGATAGTAGATTATGAATTGTAAAAATAAAACCAAAGACCATTTTCATTACATCACAATCTTTACAAAAATGAGACAAACAAACATAAAACTCTACGATTTCCATAAACCCCACGTGCTCACGAGGGATTAATTTCGAGACGTAATTCCTGAAGCGCTAGTGAGAAGCCATAAAATCAATGGAGCTCATATTTCTTCGGTGTGAAGTGACCAACCAAAGACAATAGCAGACAGTTGTGAACTATTGAAAATTATTTGAAGTCACACATGTAAACCATCGGATGTCGACTCAATAGTCGGGAGGTTGATCATTCATCTTGAAACCTAAGTCTTAAAATCGATCCTCGATGGAGCAGTGGATGAGCACTGTCACAAAATCTCATTACTAAAATGAAACAGTTTTCCAGTGCTTCCTGGTTTCCCATGGTTCTCCAACTTAGGTCGGTTAGTGATCCCAATAGCACTCAACAATCGTCAAAAACTCGCTATAATGATAGATAAAATTTTACTTGCGAAAACAAACAAGAATGCATTGACAACTTTACCGGGAATAACAGCATCACCGAATCCTAGAAGAGAAGTATATGGCATGGTCGCGGTATTGTGTTTATTTACTTCTATATGTTCATTGATAAGTAGACGAAATGATAACGGTATCAGTTCTCCACTTTTACCGGCTGAACCAGTTGCTACGGCTTCCATAAAACTATGAGCAGTTGAACGTCGTGTTCTAGTAAGTTGGATATGCTCAGAGGAATGACTAACATTAGTTGATGCAGTTGACTGCGGAAAAAATTCAAGTGATTAAAAGAAGTTTAAGTTGTCTGATATGCGCTTAGTGAAATTATATGTGTTTGACCATTGAATGTGGACAAACAAAAAAAGTTACTGACTATTAAATGTGCGATCTACTTTCCTACCACTGATTTGTACTTTAAACTCATTGAGTGTGACTGCTTGCAATTGATTAAAATAAAGTATTGTCTTGTCTATGCTCTGACTATTTTTGGTCATGAATCGTGTGTCTCGTATAATGCGATTCAGTTCGTGCAAGGTCTATTGATCGAGTATTCAATCTTGCTTACATACTTATGCCTGTTACCTTTCATGGAGGACCATAGACTGCTCACCAGCATTCTTCATCCAACTTTGCACTGAGCAATCCTTTCCAGTTGCTATTCATTTTATTCATGTTTGCTTTTAATTCTCGAGGCAGTGTGGTTTTGGCCTTCTTCATTTTCGTTTCCTTTCAGAATTCCAAGTTAGTGTTTGCTTCGTAATGCAGTTTCATGGTTTCCTCAATGTGTGTCCTATCTACTTCCAACATCTTTTCCTAATTTCCTCCTCAGCTGGAAGCTGTTTGTTCTCTCCCACACCAGGCTGCTACTGATGGTACCCAGTCAACAAACAATGACTATCTCTGGTAGACGATTGTTTATAAATATACTTGTACTGTTTTGATGATGGATGTGGTAGTTATCCACGTCTCAGCTTCGTACAGTAGAACTGATTGTCTTGACGTTAGTATTGAAGATTCTGACTTTGATATTTGTTGACAGACAGTTATTTTGAGTCCCACATGTTCTTCAATTGTAGGAATGAGGTCCTTGCTTTGGCCGTATTCAATCTGACAGTAGCATAATCTCGGTCAGCGGTTCATATTACAGTAATACATCGTGAAAGCGAGAAAACATCTTTATTCATCTGTTATATCGTTATCAAGCTAATGCTAAAATGGACTTAACTGTATTGTTTAACTCAGTAATCATCATTTTCTTTTAAAAAAGGTTAGTGAGATCATTCACATATTTTCAACTCGATAGATGGTGTGAAATGTCTGACACATGTCAACTGATAGCCGAAAATCAACTTTTCAATACAGAGTCAAAATGAACATTTAATGGATTACAACCTCATCGTTTATGAAAATCTAACTGGATGTGTTTTTTTTATTCAAATATGCAGACTATGCTGAAGACAATATTAAGACAATGAAGAACGATAGAAATACGTAAGCAAAAATTAGTGGAATAAAAACCATTTATGAATTCCTAACAAATTGAAACTAAAAAAAATCGTCAACGATGGTGACCAATAACTACGCGTAAAAGAAGATTTAAATACATTGCAAGTCTTAGGTGCAAACCTCATCTTATTTACGTTGGTTCGTGAATATCTTTAGTAGCCTTATTATTAACGTTACAAAAAGATGTCAGAAATTAATATACTTTTTTTGACAAAATCAAATGATAACTATAAAATATACCAATTAGTTTAGAAATACATAAATAACTTACTATGAATAGGGGAGTAATAAATACGAAGAATATATCATAGATCAGAAATGCAGTAAACAAAAGTGTACCAACCTAACGAGATAATACGAAAAAAAAAAAGAATATAAGGAAGTCACGAAATTATGTTTTACAAAGTTGTCAACCGAAATATAACCAGACAAAGATGATAAGAACTATGTGATATATAAGTGCAATAAATCATGAACAATCTGATCACATATATACTTGTTGAGAAAAAATTCAAACTCTTTTTATGCATTCAGAAACAGCCTGTACTCGTCGTAAATCTATTCTTGGTAATATTTATTTACTATTCATAGTGGTGAGATTTATATTGTTTGTTTGTCTAATTGATCGTTTATTAATCATATATCAATGTTCTTAACAAAAATATAGATGTGGTCAGATTGTTCGAAATGTATTGCGTTAACATGTCATATAGTTTTGACAATCTTCATTTTCTTATTACATTATCCAAAATTCTCAAGGGGACTGATTATTTCCAATTAAAGTATACTTATATACATAAGTGAAAATATATATTGTAGACTACACTCTGTAATACGGACACAGACATATAAGCCGATAGAACAGCAAACTGAAATAAATGAAATTGCCTTTAAAAAGACGATAAAAGATAGATCAGAAATTTAATTTTTGTATGATTTGAAAAACTATGCCTTATATTCGATATCTCAGTAGTAATGTCTCCAACTTTGGTGAAGCTTTGTATTCCACAAATAGCATCATCCCCATCCAAATTGTAGATGTACCTCACTGATGTATGCTAAATAACATGAAACTTAGGTCCAAGGTTATCAATAATCTAACGCTGAATAAAGTAAGGCAGTCCAAACTATTATACCGCAAACTCACTACAAAAACATAAGAAGTTTTCATCAATATGACAAGTAAAACATGATGGGTAACTCTAAACCCGAGCTTCATTTGAACAAATAGACACATAAAAACGATCAACGCATTTTACGGGGAAAACCATTGAGGATTCAGACAACAAAGAAATACAACCAACCAAAAAGTAATCGAGACATAATTATAAGATATTTCTGCTAGAGACAGATGTCTATAGACTTTAATGGCTTTTATACACCTGCATGAGGGTATTCTGACTTTTGAACAGATATTAATGATTTAAACAGTACGTATCTAACACGTCATTCTTTATCATCCTAACCATTCTTTAGTCATCATAGACAGATGAGATCGTCTATGAGTAACCATGTTATTCGTGGTCTTATTGATTATTCACTTTCATCCATATATCTTTACGTAACTTTGTGTGTGTAAGTAAGTACTTATCTATGCATCTACAAAGTGTTGACTGACTACAAAAGCTGAGTCACACCTAAGTCACCGATCTTGGTCAAAACCCGATTTCCATAATCACTACACTCTTTGTTCGCCTGGTTACACATGGATGCTCGAAATAAACGCGTCCCATATAAATTTTGTATTTTAGCGCTCTCGCGACCGCGTTGTCAAAAACGAGATTTAGTCAAAGAATATAAACGATATATATATATATATATATATATATATATATATATATATATATATATATATATATATATATATATATATATATATATATATATATATATATATGAATCACATGAGCTATCACAAGACTGTTGTGTAGGAATTATAATTTATCAGTGCACTAAATAGAAAATATACTTTGAGTACATCAAGCGTGATCATAGGGTATTATGGTGATTACTGAATTTAAAGTTTTATACCACAAATTTCAGTCATGACAGGGTTGAGAGAGTTGCCAACCTATAGCACCGAGTGATAGTAACGCAATATCGCGAGTCGATTACGTTAGAACTGTAGATCATTGGATGATAAAATCAGTGGTATGAAGGTTAAGCACTATCCCAAGACATCTGAAAGTTAAGGGTTTAACTTCTAGTAAAGTTGTAGATCACCATTCTTGAGAAGTCCTATATTGAAACTAAGCATTTGTCTAGTGCTTTCTGGTTTCCAGTCCGTTTTTAAAAAAGTCAGTTCGAGGTGTGAAATTCTAAGTACCAAATGTGACGAGTAGATGTAACAAGTAAGAAATGGGGTAGAATTTATCAGAAACATACTCATTGATTACCTTGACTGATGGTATAATCAACCCAGATGAAATAATCACTGCCACTATAAACATCCCGATAACAGATTGCAAAGGCCAACCAATTCTAATAAAAGATTCAAATAATGTAATGAATGAGAATCATAATGTCAAAGTAGAACTTGATAAAAATGTTTCTTTTTAAACAAAATGTTCATTTAAATAGTGGTAATGGCATCTTTATATGTATTAAATAGCATGATACACAAGGTTCTATCTCAAAGATCGGTATTACACCAGATTTTTATTCTAATTTCAACAACCAACAATTTCATATCTTCCACAAAACACATAATCTTGTAGAATACGATGAAATAATTATTGAATTGCATTTAATCGAATATATTTTAAAAACCTAAGCAGTTTAAAGAAACATTGGAAAGTAGGGTTTCTTTAACTAGCGAAACTACTCGCCTAATCACAAAATTGTTAATACACAAGATTTTCATAGAGCTTACTAAACAATGGGGATAAAATCATGAATGTTGAAATAACTTCATAACAGAACAACTTCACCTGATGAACTCAAGATTTTAACGTCACACAGCAAGTGTTACCTCTAGATTACCGTAATGAAACACATGTCTACAATCTGTTCGACTAAATGATAACTTGATACTTTATATTACGGACCTACCTTGATTAAAAAACCAATAAACGCCAGGAATTACTGAACAGTTACTTCATCTTATTATGGAATTGCTCAGCAGGATGAATTCCGGACACAGCTTAAGGATTGCGAATTGACTGAATTTAGATATGGAAACCACCTGATCCTAGTTCAATGGTCTGAAGGTTAAGAACCTTGGTCAGACAACTGTTTGTTTGATAAAGCGATTGGCGCACTTCATTTATTAGGGTTAAGACATGCATCAGCTCAGCACAGTATTGAAGTAAGAATTTTTAGTTGAGAAAGATGTGAAGTATCTGAAACATTCTCAGATTTTGAATAAAAATTTCTATAATATTTATCAATTACGCCATACGACCTACTGAACAGGTCTTCTTTTTGTATACTACAGATGGATTAGATAACATCTAGAGAGGAGATAAATTATTGAGCATTTGTATAAAAAAACTGTTGCTCTTACTAACATATGTATGACAGATTATAGTATATAGACCCCACGTCATAGTCATACATAAATATTTGGATTTTACCAATGAAATTGAATGGTAAAGGATCATTAAGAACATGCGTGTACATGATGATTAAAAACAAAGGCATATAAAACTGAAGCTTACATGTCATTATTACGAAATACCAACCACGTTGTAGCTATGGCCAAACCGATTGGGAAAGTAACTAGAGAAAGAATATATATTTTTCCGGGACTAATAACTCGACAACATTTTACATTAATTGTTATCCTAAATAAAATTGAAGGGGAAAAATGGAATATACGATGAAGTATTACACAAAGCTATAATGGCATTCGATCTAAAATGAAATAACTTTTGCAGTGAAAAAACATCAAATATTTATTGTTTCGATTTATTATTAAATTAGTAGCAGCTTATATTAATGACGTTAGAGTTACATTTTTAGTTCATTAAAAGTAATAAGTGTACAAATAATAAGCATGAGAATAGTTTGCTAATCAATCACAATTCTCCCTCCTAAATTTCAAAATTAATGAATTATACCTTAGACTTAATTTCCGTTTTCACTGGAATCATGAACCGACCAATGTTAGACCACTCAATGACACCTGGATGACCGTTTCGTTCTAGTAGGAGATTCCTCAACAGTATCCATCCACGATCCCGGACGTGAAAGTATAGCACGCTAATGCTTAACTTCTAGACCACTGAACCAGTATTCAACGGTGTTAATGTATAACTCCAATCAATCCATGACATTGCACGACAATCTTCTATTGTGTCCGGTGGTTAACTGTCTCACACCCGGCATGGTCAAACTTTGCTGGTCAGTTCGTTTTTTTTTAAATCTATGTAAATCCTGTCACCGCCACAAAAATCTACACTTATCGTTATCTTCATTACATTGATTTTGTATTTGGGAATATCTCCCCCTCACTTTCAGTAATTTTCAAATACTTATGATTTTCCTCACTATTGCTTCTAATATCGAGTTAATTCATTTAACCTTTCTAAAACCTTCAATTATTGTGATAAAAACATTTTAATTATCTTACTCCATTCACAGAATAATGAATTATTTGTAGTGTCAGTTATTATGGCAAGCCCATGTACCTTATTCTAACTTCCGGACATCCTATTTTATTCATTTTACTTGAGCCATATTTTGACCTTGTCAATTATTCGCTTATTAGCCTTAACTGTTTTCACATGAGCGTATATATGTGTGTACACTTCATATCCCATGATTCATTACATGTCTGTAGCTTATTTTGTCTGACTATAAATATGGAATAACACTTGACTAAAACGGAGTTGGCTTCCCAGCCATCTTCCATACAATCTAAAATGGAGTCAGATCCACGGGCACAAAAGTGGTGAGCCCGACGTGATGACGAACGCAACGCAGCAAGCTACGTCGATGAAGGCACTTCTGCACTCTATACGTTCGACGAACATATTCAGCGAAGCCAGCGCAATCTCCAATCCGACGCAATCAGCACAGCCTGTGCAACATGACATGGACATGCTCAAGTCGTATTATCTTATCGATACTTTGTCCTCATGTCAATTATCCTCATTGATCCATTCGTCGGTTTGTTCAATTACGATTCAAATTATCATTATATGCTTATTATTACATTATTATCAATATCATGACCGAATGTGGAATTATTAATCTTGTTCGTGCTGTCATTAACTTATGACATTTTCGCAATCATATCACTCACCGAACAAATTATCATTTTATGAAAATTCCACTCCACTTTGTGAGAACTCATTGGAATATTTTTACTATTCGAAAACGTGAAATTTTCCTGCTTTAAGTGAGTTCGTTCCAATTTTTTCATGTCATTTTGATCTAATATTGCATTCATTCACTTAGTCGAGGTCCGCAATTTATGTTATCACAACATACATTTTTCATTTCGAAATCGCCTCCTATTATGTCTGTGGATGCTTCTGACTAGCTGATTAGTAACCATTACGCTCATTTTATCTATTCTTCCACGTGCATAACTACATTCTGCATCACTTATCACTGGAAAACGCTATTCGAGTACTGCAACTACTATTCTATTCTATACCCATCGCTCGGTATATCAGAACATAGAGTTTAGAGCTAGCCTCTCAAAGATACACTCTTGTTCGTCACATCCAAGTCAGTCTCATACGTCGCAATCGCTAACCATATGTATTGGTATTTTTGTCATGCCTTAGTACGGTTTTGTAACAAACGAGATCGAGCGCATCTCCCTCAAACCACTCTAGGCTTCACGACCAAAAAGGAATACGACTCTACGTACCTCGTCTACTCAGTCACTATTCTGTTCCTCTGGTCATTCTTCTACTAATACATATTTAACGATAACTCGATGCATCTGTCATAACGCAGACGACAACGTTCACTGACTTCAGATTTTATGATTATTATCAACTGCAGTACAGCAACGAATATCATCCGTCGATGCAGTTATCATTTCACGACTTGCCTATTATCATCCTACGAACGGGAGTTACGCATTTAAATTCGAATTCACTCATCACTAGTTGATGCTATTTATTCTGCTGCGGCTCAACAGAACATATATTTAACGTATTTCACTATTTTGTCAGCATCACAGACCAATTTCTGTCATATTCTACTGTACTCATTTTGACAATTTATTTCGCTGTCATACCCACAAGCAATTTATTACTATTTTCACGATAATTTAAATCACTCATACGAACGTGTTATTTTATCGTTCAGACAGTCATAGCATTAGTACATGTTAATTTTCTGTACGCTCATTAATTTGCTCATATTCGCATGCTAACGTTTCCATTTTTGTCCGCGCCTTTTCTATATTCATGTATTCTTTTGCATAAGTATGACATTTTCATATAATACACTCAACCCTCATGTGACACTGTACTTTATCGAGTGTTGTATAATTTTTTTTTGCTACTTACAGCTAACGCTAACTACGCACCACTTCACTGTTATTTTCGAAAACAGCCATTTTTTAAATGTGCTATTTTCTACAAGGGGGCTATGTAGTGTCAGTTATTATGGCAAGCCCATGTACCTTATTCTAACTTCCGGACATCCTATTTTATTCATTTTACTTGAGCCATATTTTGACCTTGTCAATTATTCGCTTATTAGCCTTAACTGTTTTCACATGAGCGTATATATGTGTGTACACTTCATATCCCATGATTCATTACATGTCTGTAGCTTATTTTGTCTGACTATAAATATGGAACAACACTTGACTAAAACGGAGTTGGCTTCCCAGCCATCTTCCATACAATCTAAAATGGAGTCAGATCCACGGGCACAAAATATTAACCTATTAATTTTGTACAACTTATTATTTGCGCACACACAAACTTTTATTGTTATTATTCACATTATATAATCTAGTAATATAACTTTTATGTTACACTATCACATTTATTCATGGTTTATGTCTTTATAGGATTGATACCTCATTTATATATAAAGCTTTATAACAAATTCATTCACAAGAGACCCCTTTGCATTTTCAATGAATTAGTATAAGGACTTTTAGGAGTATTTATTAAGTGGTTGTCCAATGGGAACAATTTAATTCTAATTGTGACCACGATTTGAATTTACTCAATATTGTTACGTTATTTATAGGTAAGAAATAATTATCATTCAATTATAATGAAATTATTTGAGAAAAATCAGTTAAAGATGCTCGTAGACAGACGACGCAACATCAACCAACTCCTTAAAAAGGAGGTTTGGGATTTCATCAGTTTCTAAACATTGGTACGAGCTAAGTGACTGGAGACATTTTCGGACATCACTTTCAGTGAAAATTGGAACACAACTATTCTTCAGACTTGTGGATATAGGAATCATAAAATCAGATGATTGACGTAAAAAAGATTTATTTTAGTCACAAACATTCAGCTGGTTATCGTCACTAGTGCGTCTCACACTTGTAAGCTCTTTAAATAATTTCCGCATACTTGAAGAGATTTTAAAAAATGTGAGTTTCTCAGTAAACATCAAGTTCATACGTCTAATCTCTAGGTTTATTCGATCATTTAGCTTCGAACTTCGACAGAATTTTTATCCTCGTATATTCTTTCTGTTTGCGTTCGAAATCGCTTTAGTTGTAGGGATGTAAGTCAATCAAAACTTACAAAAATAGTTTCATCGGAACAACAAACAATAAAGCAGAATTCAAGATTACAAGTGGCAAAATCAAAAGTATTTCCCAGTGAGTCATTTGTAAATAATTTCCAGTTTGTCGTACGAAACATGTTTTTTCCAGATTTTGGATACTTCCTTTATTTGACTGATGCATTTATTTATTTATTTGAACACACAAATAGTGGTACAAAGGGACACCGAATACAAATGCACCACACAGATCACTTGATTTGTGTGTGTGCTGTGATACTGCCCAGGCGCTCAAATCGAAGCAGATGGTTTCCTTAAGGAGCCACACCCCGAGCCTTTGACCTAAAAGTCTGATCCACAAGGCAGTGGAGCAACGTAAGGAGATGCAGTCCCATGTTGGCCGGTGACCAATAAATGGTTCATACGCCATTTGTTCCTTCAGGATACTGGAGCCCATGTGCACCATTGGTTTGGAATCAGGGTTTTCCAACACTCCTAGGTGGATACTCCGTGTCCACTAACCCGGTTAAAGCGCCAGACATTCGCTTTTCGTCCTCTCAACTACGTAGACAACACTTGTGCCGCGAAAAGGTAGTAAGTAGGACTTCCCTGGTAGTGGTTGCATGCACGTGGCCATGTGAGACTATTTCGAGAGGGAGAACTGACTCTCCCCACCCTCGGTCGTACCACGGCATTTGGGATGTACTCTTTATAAGTTTGCCATATACTTTGGGTAGAACACAAATAACACAATGATCAGAACTAAACAACGGAACACGATTGAAAGTCACATATATTCCCGCATCATTAATGAAAACTAAGTCTGTATGGACATCCGAACGAGTGGGAGAATCGATTACATTTTGGTGACTTGGTGATGAAAGAAAACTACAATCACATAGATTAAAATCACTACATATGACTGAAAGTGAAACATTGAAGCAGATATCAGTGAATTCGTCAACGAAAACAGATAGTGCAGATGATATGCGGTCCGGAGTTACGTAAATGTTTGTAACATAAATACGATTGTATTTGTTCAAGTGCCTCGGACGGCATCATAAATTTAAACAGTCGATAAAGTCGTTTTAAAAATTTGAAACATGCACCAGTTCACATTGACGAATGTGGCTAGACCGCCGCCACATTTTCTTATTGATTCATCGTTTCTAATGATAAATATTGAAACCAGTTAGCGATACTAAACAATCGTCGTGTAAAGCATTTAACCAGAATTCTTGAATTGTGACTACACAGAAATGAAAAAATGTGTTAACACTTAATAGTGATTGAAGATAGTCCACCTTTGCAATCAGCGATCGGTAGTTGAAAGTTAGCAGTTCAGGAATCGACATCTGATTAATGTTCATTTTTTTCGATGCACATTGCCATACACAATGTCTCTGGTTGTATTTTTTAGTACTTTGTAAAGCGATAGGTTGTAAACATTTTATATACGCTCCTGAATAGGTAATGAGAATAATAGACATATTAATGTTTTAAAACGAACAATACAGATAACTTGTTGAAATATTTAGATGGTAGGAACAGGTAGCTCAGATATTCAAACAGGCCTCCACAGTTTATATATATATATATATATATATATATATAATTAACACATCAAATGAATATTGAGAGAAACTAAAATTAGACTCACGTTTTGGTTGTTGCAGGAGCAATACGTTGGATAACAAATGTAAGGAATGTCGAAATTGAACTTGCGCCTACCAGTACAAACAGTGCTATTAGGAGATATACTAAAAGAAAGGAGAATTATGCAAAACATTCACTAAAATATGAAGCAAAGTGCTGAAGACAAGAGTTTTCAAAGAGAATATCTGTATAAGAAGCCATCCAAATGAAAATAACCATGAAAATCGCAGTACGTTCACAAAATATCTAGTAAGTATATCATTCTTTTGTGAAGAATATTGTGCATGAGATAATCTTTGAGTGATACAAATGTTTATCATTTGATTATTTACAGTTAATACGATAACATAGTATAATGTGCACGCATCGAAATCTAATATATCAAACAAACTCTCACAATATCTACTAATCTTTATCTAGTTCCGCTCTCTGTCTAAAATTTAAGAGCTTACTCTTTAAAACGTATATCAACTGGTCGATTAAGACTTACACTTACCACTGAGTAACACTGTAAGAAAATCCTTTGTATGCAGTTAAGAATCTACTATATAAAAATCCTGCTTCAAAACTGGACTGTTATAACGTTTCGGTTGATATTAGGAATCGAAGAAGTTGAGCACACTGATAACTTTACGTATTTGATCGATTCTAATGAGTTATTGAATGATGAATTTAAGCCATCTGTGTCCCATGTAATACATTCATCTGCTAATTAAACAGCGACTGTAGTGAGTAGTATTCCACTCTGTATTAGTTTACGAATATGAAAAACAGCATCTAAAAGTCGACGACATACATGAGTTGTTGATAGATCCGATGTCGCTGAAGTACTATTGGTGATGATATGCCATCAACCCAATGGTACTGGTGATAAGCACACGACACTTACATAAATATGTTAAATTTATTGAGAACATTTACTGACTTAGGTAGTAGATTAGAATAAATTATTCATACCCAATCACCACTTAATTTAGTGCAATACACTGTATAGAATACAAGTATTCTGATAACAACATCGAGTTACAATAAGATAGTGATATAATTCAAATTGAGCAAAGAAAAGTATATATATCCTGATTAAGATCCACAAGATAATTATAATCTACTATTGTAAGTTTAAATCGTAGTTGCATTGATTGTTTATCTTCACCTAAATCTTGATCATATTACCATTTATGTATACATCATTCCTAAATTTCACTTGCATCCGATGTATCTTTTTTAAGTTTGTCGTTTTAAAGCTATTGGACACTATTAATTTCAACAGACACAAAATGTGACAACTTCAGCCAACACATATTTGACAAAATGGAAAACAAGGTTGAAAGTTACCAAACCACAACATGTATGATCACCAATGATTCAACAGTACATTCTCTTAAATCAAATAATAATACATTACAGTTGAAAACTTTATTCTGCTATATGATCTAAAGATATTTATCACTAGAATAAACATAAATTGCAGTTAATTACCAATCTAAATCACCACACTTTATAATTTAGTAAATTTGGTGGCTGACTGTAGATTATTAAGCAGAGAAATCATTCGACGTGTTTTATGCTACAGACTGAGATGGTTTCAGCCTGTTTTACACATGGTAAACTCTACCGGTTACTGGATATAGTAAGATTGGTAAAAGACAAGTTAAATGGCGATCACATGCAATATAAGAAGACCATTAATGTATGGTGTTGTAGATACATGGTTTGTATCGTATGGAGAGCTTCTAGATAACAGGGTCGGGTTTTTAAGACATCGACACCTGTTCCATGGGGATTTATGATCATTGTCTGTCACTGTGTCAATAAAAAAGACAGAATTATTCCGATTTTTCATTGCATTGAGTTTTATCTTGTTCCACCACTTTGTTTATGATCTCAAAGCTTTTAAGTAGTTGGAAATCCCATACATACACAATGCATTGAATTACTGATGTGCAAACACTAGATGACGAGTGACAAAACTTAATTGTTTTGGCAAACACAAATAATTCTAATAATTAGACATTTAACATTTCATGAAGTGAACAGCTTCAAACTCTAAGCAAATCATTAAAGTGTTTCACCATATAATAAAATTAGACTACATTGTATAAACAAGCTTACCTACTACATCATACAGGAAGTAAGTTAGCAACAAGAGTGTAACAGAAATTACCAAACACACGATAATATATAAATACAAAGAAGATTTGAACTTTGGTAGCAAACTTTGATGTCTAGAGTAATCTAGTAACCTGGAAATAATATAAAACAGAAACAAGAAATCTATGTCAGATTAACGTCACCGAAGCAATCACTAGGAAAGAAAGAGTTAATTTAATCAGATATGATTGAAATATGAACAAATACTTTTGTAAAATGACATCAAACATGATATATGTGTGGAGTACTTCACAGTTCAGAGAGCAACCAAACACAGTTTTACGACCCAAGTCACTCATAATGAAATGTCATACATAGGTCGACAACAAGGGTTGTTTACAAAAGAATTTGTTACGTCCTCTACTTAATTACGGTAGAATACGGTATACAATTATCGGTACTCGAACCCGTACAACCCCACAGTCGCAAATCAAAGTACGGAAGAGGCAGAGAGGAGTGATTATTGGATAGAAGTCAAAAATGTACAGAAAAACAGGGGTTTAATAGTTCTTAATATTGGCTATAACATCGTTATAATCCAGCCAATCAGCAAGGAGGAAAGCTATGCAATTGTCCAATCATAGCATGCCACGTTGATATTCCATAGGGCTCTATCAGATTATGATTGAACGGAATCTCTTCAGCTCATTTAGAGCCTCTAGAGGCTTCGTCGTGCTTTTTGGACCTGTCCCAACAACATTATTCAACACCATCGCTCAGATGAACGAGAAATATTCACAAGCAGGGAATTATTTGAAAATTGTTTCGTTACACGATAATCGATACGATTAATTTGAGATTATTAGTGATAAACAATTACTCATGACTTGAATAATACTGATCGATCTTTTTACCTTTTATTTACAATTGACATGGATTACTGATAGATTAGAACCCATGGCCCAAACCTATACAAAATCAACGTGTTCGATAGCTGAAATAGTTCGATAGTATGTTGAAATAATACTGTAAGCTAAATTTTAAATTTTACTTTAACATGAATACTTTACTAATCATTCGAACATAAATGTAAGCAATTGCATCGAGAAGGTACGGTGATGAAAATAATAATAGTAGGGATTGAAAAGTGTTATCAACTCCAATGCCAGCGTAAAAAAACCCAGTAAAATGAAGTAATAATGAATATATTTTTTGTTATATGCCAATGAGTAGAAAAAATTGTATTTCTAACGTTTCATGACTTAATGTAAGCCACTTCATCAAAGTAAATAAAAAATGAAGGTCAAACAAGTAAATTCAGTAAATATTTCTGACAAACGTTTATGTGATTATCTTCCAATGTATTCAAGGTCTTAGTCGTTTGTTTAGACTATAAAGTCTCATTAGACTTGTGTCTAATTTTATATCCATATAAAGATAAGTCCATACAATCTTTTACAACAAATATTTCATAATTTTTAGACATCTATAGTGCTTGTACAGAGTGGCACAACAGGGATTTTTCGATTTCACTCCTAAATAATAGTTTTATTCTTTCTTTTCCCAAATACAATCAATAACAAAACATTGAAGACTTATTACAATTACAAGTTTCTCATTGGTGATAGGCTTCACATTTAACTTGTCTCGTCAGAATGTGAATGACAGAGATCGGATAAACTATGATTTAAACTAATTATTCACCTATAAAGTATAATCGTGCCAATAAGTAAACGAGTTTCTGGCAGTTACAATTGAAAACAGACAATTATTAGGTAGTTGGAAGTAATCACCGTCAAGTCATGGACCTAGGTTTTCTGCCCACTGCCTACAAAAAAGTACATCCGATAACAAGTCATTTAGGCTAGTAGCTATATAGAAATTTGATAGAATTTAGTTAGCATTAAATACTAAACAATGGTGAGTTAATGAAAACTACCTATCTACTAAGCATTAAATTTGATTGTATTTTAAAAAATAAATAAAAATGAAGTTTAAATGAAGCACAGAGAATGAAATCATAATCCAATATCTAAGCAATCAATCATCAGCTTCATGATATGGAGATGAACTGTCAAGTTCAACTTCTGCTATGTGTATTGACCAGTTTAAAAACTCCTTTTGACCAAGTTATATTCGGCCAGCAACTAGACAAGTTCATCAATACACAAAATAGTAAAAAGCTTTATTTTTGCACATATAATCGAAAACTGGATACTGAATTTATATTTAAAAACGATCCAAATCAATTCCAATAATTCAAGATTTTAATTGTTACATACAGTGAAAATCATAGAAATTCACTTATTTAAACGTAACCATTATGTCGAGAAATGTTTACACCCTTTTTCTCCTCGATTATAATATTCAATTAAACCAAATGAAATTATACAAAACATTTTCCATTTTTTATTCATATATTAATATAGACAATTATAACAATTGAATAATATATTTGTATTATCCCAATGAATAGAAAAATTAGATTTTCTGACGTTTCGTGACTTAATGTAAGTCACTTCTTCAGAGAAGGATAAATAACCAAATTGAAATTAATCCAAGTTTAAATAATACAACGGAACAACACGAATTAATCTTTTATTTTTCTGATCAAATATACATTAGTTGTTTTTAAAAATAATATTAAATATAGATATTTGCTGTTACTAACTCATTGTCATATGGTTCATATTGACTTTATTACTAACTATAATATATATTATTAATCTAAAGGTATCATGAATAGTTGAATGAAGAACTAATTATTTGTGTCATTTATAATCTTTTTTTTAATTACTAAACAAATGATTTACACATGAAGCTTGAAATAAAAACTACAAGAATTTTAATAAAGTTTAATGTTAGTAACAAGAGTTACATTAAATAATTTAGATTAAACTTATAGGACGAAGTTTCTAAGACAAAAAGAAAAAAATAATAAAACTAATAAAATATAAATCTATAAGCTATTTTTCTATATTGTATGAATCGCGGAAATATTCGCATTATACTAAAGAAAAGATAACAAAAATGCAGTAAATACAAAAATATGACCTAATGGTTGAAAGTGTAGTAATCAAACCAAAATAATAACAACATCATTGATAGGTAGATAAATTACACTTCACAGAGAATCACTATGTGGTTATTATTATGATAAATAAGATTTTAAAGTTTATTAATTCAAATTTGAGCTACTTCCATAGTTTAACTATTGACTAAAACTTTTATGATAGTATGATTCTTATCATTACTAGTGTATTTGTCTTCTTAATACTAATTTGTACTTTTCACTTTTTAGTTGTGCAATCTGATTGATTATAAGCAAAGATGGATAGTGGCTAGCAGTGGAATCCAGGACGCGCGTTTCGTCCTGTTTGGGACTCGTCAGTTGGATGTACCTGCATCTCAGAGTTGATGTTCACTCTGGGACTCGAACTCAGTACCGTTCGCTTCAAACGCCATCGCGTTATCCACTTGGCTACTGAGTCCTGATAGCCACTTGCTTGTGCAATGGGTTGAAGTTGAATTCACTTGATATTGTTTTACTTGAATTTTCCCATTGATGTTTTTTTGGACTGAAATTGATCAGTCTCTTATTGGCATATGTCCATACTGTGCGTATGCCTCGATATTGCCTAAATTTACAAGCATTATAAGCAAAGATGGATAGTGGTTAGCAGTGGAATCCAGGACGCGCGTTTCGTCCTGTTTGGGACTCGTCAGTTGGATGTACCTGCATCTCAGAGTTGATGTTCACTCTGGGACTCGAACTCAGTACCGTTCGCTTCAAACGCCATCGCGTTATCCACTTGGCTACTGAGTCCTGATAGCCACTTGCTTGTGCAATGGGTTGAAGTTGAATTCACTTGATATTGTTTTACTTGAATTTTCCCATTGATGTTTTTTTGGACTGAAATTGATCAGTCTCTTATTGGCATATGTCCATACTGTGCGTATGCCTCGATATTGCCTAAATTTACAAGCATTATAAGCAAAGATGGATAGTGGTTAGCAGTGGAATCCAGGACGCGCGTTTCGTCCTGTTTGGGACTCGTCAGTTGGATGTACCTGCATCTCAGAGTTGATGTTCACTCTGGGACTCGAACTCAGTACCGTTCGCTTCAAACGCCATCGCGTTATCCACTTAGCTACTGAGTCCTGATAGCCACTTGCTTGTGCGATGGGTTGAAGTTGAATTCAAGTGAATCTGATTGATTGTAATCATTGACCCGTAAATTTCTTTGATTAGTTTAATCTTTTACTATACTCAGATAAATTTTCATATATATTAAAGTAAACCTTAATGACAATCTAGTTGAGAATAATATGGTGAAGCAGCCTGTTAAAATATCTGGGCTAGCTGTTCCTACCATCTAGATATTTCAACAAGTTATCTGTATTGTTCGTTTTAAAAACATTAATATGTCTATTATTCTCATTACCTATTCAGGAGCGTATATAAAATGTTTGCAACCTATAGCTTTGCAAGGTACTAAAGGTACAATCAGAGATATTGTGTTGGCTGGTAATAGGCAATGAAAAGAATGAAAATTATTCAGGTGTCGATTCCTAAACCGCTAACATCTAACTGGGGATCACTCAATATTTATTGTCAAGATCCATCAATAAGTAAAAAAAGGGACTTGCTCAAATACTCTATGCTGAGAATTTTAAATTGTACCAAAAATATAATATTAAATAAAGCCATTGCTATTATTATTATTATTATTATTATTATTATTATTATTATTATTATTATTATTATTATTATTATTATTATTATTATTATTATTATTAACAACAATGTTCTTAGCTTATATGTGTTACAACAACAAAAGTTAGTGAATTAAAACAACACTACATATGATTGTGTTTAACTGGTTTTGTTTTCTGTTTGTCTCAAAAATCGGATGAAAGTATTTCTGTTAAATTATAGTCCCTTGTTCTGTATGCTGTGTCTTTGAAACGCGTGTACACAAATCAAGTGTGATTATTCACCTCAGCTTACCTCATCACTGTGGTGATTTAACACGATTTACCTTCACAAAATCTCAAAATTTACAGTCATTTTATCACGTTTTTCATGTATCTGGAAATTGCAATCAATTTGGAATATGCAATGGCTGACATGACTCAACATAGATCGAGTCAGTATCAGTTACTGTTGAAAGCTCAATACAGAAATATCACTGCATATCGAATCCATACATTAACTCTGATTATTCTACAGTGTGAACATGTTTATATTTAAGTAAAACTGACTTTATTAATCATTAGTTTTTTAATAAAATAAATTTTAACAAAACACCCGACTTCTACTTGAAGTAAGGTCTGTTGGTGTGATCCTGAATGACAGAAAAAGTTTCATAACTCAGCCACCCAGCTCAAGAAACGAAACATCATCAACGAACAATACGTAGGAATATAAATCTAACTATTATACATATGACAACGAAGTCTCACTTACAGTTTTTCATGGTTAACAATAATTATCCATGCGCCCAATGAGATGCTAGTCACAGCAAATCCATACAACAAAATCCAAATTAGAAATTTATACGCCATGGCGTTTGGAATAAATGGGAAAACGGATACTGAAATATTCATATAAGACTGATTAGAACGCTTGCTCTAAAAATAAAAAAGGAGCACAGCTAAAATGCATGCGCCAGACATAGTAAGTTTATATGATCGTTTATTTAATGTTAACGAAACCAGTAGTAGTGGTGATATAAGCTGTTGTGAGCTGATAATAAAGAGATCCATGATCTTACCACGCTAATTTTTTATACACTAATAAATGAGAAATCATATATGTTTGTCGGTGAAGGAGAAATCTCTCATGATTCTAAAACATTCAATTTAATATTATTACTGACTGAACAACAAGTCTTTTGTGGCCCTATATCTGACTCCAATTTGATCGTATATTGATCGTTACTGAAATATGCATACTGCCAAATCCACGTACAAACTTATCGACTTAAATCACATTAGTGAATAACGGAATTAAATAGGTCAAATACGAGAATGGATTTTTGAATACGTATATTTCGTACAGTCGTTGATCAGATAGCGAAGCGAAAAAATGACGCGAAATGGAGCAAACGTGTGAGCTAACTCGATTAAATCTAGCGTTAATCGAGATTTCATAACCGAACAAAAATAAGTTACAGACATGTGATGAGTAGCATAAGAAGTGCACACATACACTCACATAAAAACAGACAAGGTTGGGGAGATGTATTCCTTATAATTGTGACAATTTTCTCAGACACACCATAGTGTCGAAGAAGGTTCCATAATGTTCTCCTATCCACATTGTCAAATGCTTTCTCATAATCAAGGAAGTTGATGTATAGTGACGAGTTACATTCAATCGATCAGTCAACAATGATCAGTAGTGTCACGATTTGGTCTGCACACGACAGATTCTTACGGAATCCAGCCTCTTGATCTCGAAGTTGGGCGTCTACTGCGTCTTTCATCCGGTTCAGCAACACTGTTGAAAACTTATCCTTGTACTAGTAGTAGTGTGATGCCCCTCTATTTCTTACACTTGCTGGGATCTCCATTCTTTTGAGTCTTGGTGAGGTGTCCTTCTTTCCAGTCTGTCGGCACTTGTTCTTCCTCCCAAATCTTCAAGAATAGAGTGTGTAACATGTTTGCAATCACTTCTCTGTCTGATTTCAGTGCCTTAAATGGTATATTGTCAGGTACTGCTGTTTTCCCACTCTTGATTTATCTAATCGTCATCCTGCTTTCTTCGATCGTTGGTGCAGTGACATCTATAGAATTATCTGTGTATGTTGCTCCGATGTCCAGTGGATTCAACGGAAATGGTTTGCTTAAGTCTTCATCAAATTATTCTGCCCATCTGTTCCTCTGTCCTTGGTTTCAGTGATTGGCTTGCCTCCTTTGTCCTTGATCGGTCTCCCTGGTTTACTACAGTTTCCTGCTAGTTTCTTTGTTGTCATATAGTTGTTTCTTATTTCCTTCTCTTGCTGGAGTAGGAGCAGACTGTAAAAAAGGCTAAGGATATTCAGAAACACTGTGCTAATCAACGAAATCACTGACTGTTAATCTGAAAGGTGAAGACAGTGACAAGTTTCCTGGTTATAATTTGCGAGACAATCGTAATTTATGGTTGGGAACATTTTTATTATGGTTCAAATCCAATCGCACAGGCGCAAATGTATCGATATCTCATCATCGTCAACTTCTGGACACTGTACTACTCAACGCCACTAATTATCTAGTTTCATTTGATTCTTTTTCTGTCTATGAACACATTTTAGATATAATTGGCATGCGAAAGGATTCTACAAGGTCAGATAAAAAGTTAGACATTTCTGAATAATTAATAAATGCTGGCTAAAGCAATATTCGAAGGAAGCAATCGATGGATAAGAGCTTCTTCCTAAATGGGGTAGTCCTAATATGTACATATGCTCTTAGTAGGGAACTTGCTCTGTAGTTAAGGATTTTCACTTTCAGCGACTAGGTCACAGGTTTGGTCGCGCTACACTTACTTAGGGTTTAGATAACCGTGTAGAATGGTTGGTCCTCATAATTAGTGACTCGAAGTCAAGTAAACGAAAGTGTACCTAGTAAACAAGCTACATAAAAAATAAAGATATTACACAATACGGGATTCTCAGCATGCAATATTTCAACAACTTTCTCATACATAGATATTCTACAATTAAATGAAATATTTTTAAGAAAGTGAAAATCTCTTCAATCATGGATTGGTAACATATTAAAGAATATAAGTTCTTAATTAGACCAGCTCTTACAACCTGTTTGTCGCGTAGTATATTTGCTAGATAATGTAGGATTGTTGCACTTTAGTTTCATGAATGGATTTTTATGTATCTGCAACTCGTTCTTCCGGGAAATATACAAACAGAAAGACATGAATGTAGTGGATTGTTAGTATTTAGTAAGATAACACTTGCCAATTGTTTCCAAATGCCTATCAATAATCATATTAATGATGACAGCAAAAGAGTCGCCAACTATTTTAATAACTGCCTTTAGCACTCTCAGCAATATAGAAAAATCTCTTCTCAAAATACAAGGAAGCAATAATGATGGACAGGTAATTAACAGGAACTTACAAATCGTAAAAGTAAATAACGAGTAGTGCTAAAAACATGTAGCCTCTTCTAAGCAGGGATGGATGGTGGATAGCAATGGAATCCGGGTCGCGCGCTTCGTCCTATTCGGGACTCATCAGCTAAATGAAGCCTCTTCGTATTACAAGTCAGACGGAGAACTTTCTTCAACATTAACAAAAATTTTAGAAGACTAAAAGAGATTTTTTTAAAACTTACACCAAGACAGGCGACATTTGACATCGTTTTACTTACACAACCTCCAATAGGGTAAACTTTATGGGATTCCAAAAGGGTGTTTAAGTGCTGTTCATGTCTCAGGCTTAAGTTAACAGTTTGACATTTAAAAGAATTAAGTGTGAGACCATTAACAACAGACCATCGTTCAGTGAGAGACAATGAACCATTCATTTTAAGGGAATATGAAGATGTAGAAATCGGAGTAAATACAGTAAGACCATCTTCATACTTAACAAAAGTATTTTTTGTAGAAATTCACACATCAGGCAAAATATAAGTTAACAAAATTTCACAAGAAAAAGATCTAGATGGTTAGTTCCTATAGTTTTCTAAACATAACACTTGAATCTCTAAAATTGAAGAATTACGTCTGCTACATAATCCATGCATCGATTACAAACAAAGTCAACATTTTATAAACCTTTATTCATGGATTTATTTAATAAAGAAACCAGAAACAATTATGATCAGATTGATAAAGAGTATCATTGAAATAGAATTTGAAATCAATGTAAAAATCAAGCTAAATTATACACAACAATTTGACCAAATAAGTATACACTTACATAAATTATCTCATTAAACTGATCGATATCCAAAAATAAGTTGGATCTTTTGAATACTTCCCATGCATGTGATTCAAATATAACTTTTAATTTTAAATTTAATTCCCCATCATAAACAATAATTAGAAGCTGTGGATTGATTGATAATATTTCTCTATCACTAAAATTATTCCACATAACAGATACAGCCAGTGATGATGATGAAAGTTGAAGATGATCTTTAGTAGCAGATACAAAATTGACCAGTTCCAGTTTTGTCTGCAACAAAATTATATACGTAAAATACAACAGTATTCTTATTAAATGTACTCAGGAAAACTTACAGGTATAATTTTGGTTTAATAACCTTAAACAGAATAAAACTATATTTTCCTCACATATTTGACGCAACAACTGAATTAAAATGTTGACTTTGCATCATATCTTTTGTAGAATACTGGTTTTGATAGTAAATAAAACGGTGACTTATCTTAAAATCATTACCTTGGACATTTGAATCTCTCGCCATCTACTTCGGTACAGGCAACATGAAAATTATATAGCATAGAATGGGACTCAATTCTCACCACCAAAAGTTAAACAGCTAAATAGTTCCATTGTTTATGATAAAAAAATTAGTTTAAATATCTCTATGCAATTGGTGAGTTGCATTTTATTCATAAAACATTTAATCAATATTGGACAGACAATTCGATCATGTTTATGATGAAAAAAGTACATCATATGGAAGGATAGGCTTTAATTAATTGAGATTGTTAGGATAAATGACGTAATACTCTAATCAAAATTCATGTCTAAGTGTAAAGTCGGGTGAAGTAAAGGTATTCAATTGAAAATTCAGATATTATTCAAGTAATAAGAAGCAAATAAGAACAAAATTATTGATTATTTCAACATGATAGTCGTTAAGTTTAAAATACATATTTTGACTATTTTGGCCAGTAATTAATTCAGTATGTTATTCTGTTGTATTCTAATAATTATATCACGGATTGACCTTAATTAGATAGAGTCGGAAACGTTAACCACAGTTTTGGTTATCTTCTTATGACCGGTTTGTATCAACAGCTTAATTTGTAGTGGTTTAGTTAGTAACCAAGTCGACGTGCTCTAAACACTGAAATATCTAAGAAGCAGTTAAGTAAAATGTGACGTTTAACTTAGTCTGTTGATCATTCGTTAGATGATATACGTTGACTAATATCGCCAACTTTAGTGCAACAATGATTGACACTAAACGACCATTTTCAGCTGAGCGATAAAATCCGCATGACACAAGAATAAAACAGTGAACAATCTTATGGTACACGAGAGGTATAAAAACCGCTAGATGATTATTCTATTTAGTGAAGTAAATTAGTACTAGATAGTTGAGTGAAAATGAACTACTTAATAAGATAGAGGTATTATAACACTTGAAACTCATAAATCACATTCCACGGTTTTCAAGTTTGAAAACAGAATGATAAATTTTCTTGTTATACCGGAAAGATGTAGATTAATCATCTAATGAAAAACATAAAACTCGGAACTACTTTTTATTAACACTATTTCATAAAGACTATATAAGTTCACATGTGAAAAATACTATATGAAATAATCAAAATCCATAAGGGATGTGATCACTAAGGAAAGGAGGGGTTATAATCTAGTATAAAATCTTCATTGAAATTTCTAAGTCTAGAATACTCACTTTTTGAAAGACACAAACATCGAAAGTCAGAAAACTGGTAAAAGCATAGGTCAAAAAATCACAAAAATAAATTTTTAGTTGATAAATGACTAACCAATTACAACTTTGTGTTTTTATATTAGGTTCTGATTTAGAAACGGGTAGTATGGACACCGATATATCATGAGAAAATTGGAATCATTAAGAATACTTTGAAGTATCAATAAAAACCCAACGAGTGAAAGTATACAACAATCCTTCGACTGCCACCTCGAAATTGGAACATAGGAAGGAGTGGAAACATATATCATTTCAGAAACGATTATGTTGCTTAGTGAAAAACGAAACGCTGTGGGACAAGTAGCTGACGAGTGATACAGAAGGATAAAAAAATAATACAATATACTGAAAATAAAACCTGACTGAAAAACCCTATGTTCATACGAAAATACCCCGTCAATACATTAGAAATTCAAAACTTACAGAGGAAACAAGTACAACTAGAAGTGAATGAGAAAATATTTCCAAGAATTCGTTTACGAATTTATTTACTTATTTATTTGAACACACAAACAGTGGTACAAAGTGACGCCGAATACATATGCACCACACAAATCACTTGATTTTTCTGTGTGCTGTGACACTGCCCGGATGCTCAAATCGAAGCAGATGATTTTCTTATGGGGACACACCAGGAACCTTCGACCTAAAGGTCTGATCTACAAGGCAGTGGAGCAACGTAAGTTGATGTAGTCCTATGTTGGCCGGTGACCTCCGTGTCTACCAACCCGGTTAAAGCGCCAAACATTCGCTTTTCGTACTCTCGATTTCGTAGACAACACCGGTGCCGCGAGAAAGCAGTGAGGACTTCCCTGGTAGTGGTTGCATGAACGTGGCCATGTGAGAGTATTTCGGCATTTGCGGACCCAATTAAACAAACCACCTAATGACTAGGGATGATAACTGACTGCTAAAACCCAAATAGCTTTAAAGCCAAAGTTTTAGATCCATAAACTACCATACCATATATGCTAGTCATCATTGCCCTATCACCACTACCTGGGGATAGTTTTGGAGTATAATAGTGCAGTGGCATTTTGTTACATTATTGGCTAGGTAAAGCTCTGACACTGACATTACAAGCAGAAAACGATTTAGTCCTACTAAAAATGCAGAGTGCGAAACACTTATGGAAAAAAGTGCACCTAGTTTCACTAATAAACGTAAGCATCGAAACCAATTGAAGATAACTCAAAACTAACTGATTTACATCAAGCAGCGAACGATAATTTGGAGCAGACATAATTTCAAACGAGTTTGGATTTGCTACTCAAGTCATATCCACATACATGATCAAGCTGTAAAATGTTGGCCCTGGAAAGATACAGTAAGCTGATGATCAAAGATTTTGGAGAAGGATAGTTCCATATTTAACGATCTATGTCCGAAAAGTGTATTGAATAAGGAAAGAAAACTTTATTGTTTGATGTCCGTATGTAAGGTACACATTTAATAAATTCAGCAAACTATTCTAAACTAGTAAGACTTAACAACGTTTTTAGCTCGAATAAAAATCGAATCAAATGCAATTACGCCACTAGAAAAGTAAATTGACCAAAACTTACCGTTGTTAGGAATGGATCCAACTTTCCGGTCTGTGAAATATAAAAGCACCGATGACTCGATACATTATCACCCTTGTAAACTTTTAGAATCTCTACTGACTAAATCGAGGTTGAATAATACAAATAAGCAAATATAATAATATAGGTAATGAAAAGCATATATAATAGCATTTGTAACTATATATAAATAGATATATAGATATATACATGTACTTTCATAAAGGATGAAGCGAAAGCTAATACCGTCACTAGTGAAAACCCTTAAATGGGGAATAGGATTAGTACGAGTAACATTGAAAACATAAACTACTGATGTACAGCTTTACTTATGTTACATTTTTTCTACATTGACGTAAAACTCCTAAATGCTAGAAGACTTAAAGTATATGAACTAAGCTGACCCATGGTTTTTATCACCATAAACATTCAACTTGTCACAAGCAACATACAACCTGAAAACTACGTCTATTGACCTAAATTACCACAGCGCACCAGTATTGTGAGGTAAACGAGTACCAAAGTAATATTAATAGTAGTGCCAAGGAATCCCAGGCAAGCAGTCTATACCTACTAATAGCACTTAAACCAAGAGTAAATGACTTCGTCGAATGTTTCTGTCGTGGTTTGGTCGCCCCTAGCACTCTTTCAATCTACTTTAGTCAAGATTAAACGTAAAGGTAAATAGTACCTGAGTAAACATAATACACGTTTTAGACACTCAAACAAGTTATGATTCACATTTTTATCAATCGATACTCGATCTTAACTCAGTATCCTACATCAAGTGGTCGTATCAACTGAAACGACCATTCCTTTAAAAACAGTTAATTAAAATATATGAGCTAGTTAAGTTTAAACATTTTTGCCTATCACAGAAAAAATAAGTCCTTCAGTCCAATTCACGTCCAGCTGTCACAATTAACTAACTTTATAGCGACAAGCTAGATGTGGCGCAGTAACAGGTCAGAGTTCAAATCATTCACAAAAGCAGCGAATACAAAACTTTGCACAGATCTCGTCTTCATACATTATTGCGATGATGTTGCAGGTGTTTAATGCTTACCCGAAACGACAAATAGTAACCACGCTGAAGTGTAATTTGGGTTTGTAACATGATGTTGAAAATGACTACGTTTACTATTATCACAGTTATATCAGCCGTAAGAGACAGTACTGTCTTAGATAACTAGAAGGTTGAAATGGACTAACACATTGGAGTATTGATGAAATCAATATCACATTTTAAGAAGCCAAAAACCCTTTCATATTATTGAGGACGTAAGGTAGGCCATCTGGAAGCTGTTAAAGCATACGAAATATCTCTGGAACTCATTCTGGACAAATTGTCATGAGTCGACTTAGTCATTAATACACCATCTATCAAACACAGCTCCCGTATGATTAAGAACGGAAAACCTAATAGTCATTGTGAGCTAAGACTTGAAATTATCTTCAGATCGAAGTGCAATGGCTGCTAAATGTTTTCATTGTTATGGTTACTTCACAGTCTTCAGATGCTTTATCGAATGCATTTACAATATTTTATGTCCAACCCATTCGAGATCCCACCTACAGTACTGTGTCCAAGTGGCCAGTCCATTCCTTATTAAATATAGTATTATTGAGTACTAGATACGTATGTACTAAGTTTGTGATAGACCTTTACAAATGTTGGAGTTAACAGGAAACAAAGCAGTTAAATCTTTAGCCCCATTTGCTAGGTGTGAAGCGATTTTGTATTGACACTGTGTATCATATATAGGGATTTGAGTTTTAAAATGTGCAAGCTTTACCATAACTTTGAAACTATCTCCAAGGTTATTATAAAAAGGATCAAAAGGCGTGATCGATCAAATCTACTCATTTTCACTAACTAATTAACGACTAAGACAACCGGACATTAAAATTTTATGTTTTGGGGCACATAAGAAAAATACTCATTGGCAATGAGGACAGAATTCATACTTTGTGTTGAGAAAATCTGAAATCTCTTAAGTATGAAATACAAAGAAATATATTATCACGATAATTCGCCAACAAAAACTAATCAAAATGGTTGAACTACAAAGCAACCAACGAAGGGGACATTCTGTTAGAAAGTAAAGAGGAAATAAAAGTGAAATGCAACAAAACGTCTCTATTTTCACGTCATGGGGAAATAATACAAAATTCACCAATTTCGTTGCCTCATGTTTGATTGTCGATAAA